GTATAAGTCCCAACTCTTTAACGAGTTTACCCTCTTTTTTGGTGAATTCCATGAGAAATTTGAGACATTTTATGAGCAAAAGGGTTTTTAAACAGTAAATATCTCTCTTTCTCTGCTCTCCGATGAGTGAAAGAGACAGAAAGATTAGAAAAAGATTGATCAACAGCAAATCAAAAGCAAATCAAAAGCAAATCAATAGCAAACCAACAGCAAATCAATAGCAAATCCTTTTCCAGATGGTTCCCCCGATTCGATCGCGATCCTCCAAGAGATAATGTCGATTTTAGAAAATAAAAACAAAAACTTTACTAAGTACATTTTATTTTATCAAAAAAACAACTTTGTTTGTTTTATTAAAGAGATAATTTTATAATGCTATGCTATTTATTTTATTATGAAATGAATAAATTATAAATATAAATAAATATTTAATCAATTTTGTCGATAATCGTATAAATTCGGATTTTCAATGGAGAATTCTTGAGGAAATTCGGCCTGAGCACAATGTTCGGTGTCGACAATTGCTTTCCCGGGGTGATCCATCGGAAATTCGGAACCGAATTCAAGGATTTCACGCTAGAAGCTACACCGTCAACTCCTGGCAAAATCCATCGAAAATTTCGATGCCTTTCCGATCTCTTTAGAGATTTTCGGATAAAGTAAGGACTGCTTGCATAAGCATTTGACTCGTTTTTACGTAGTTTGTAGTGCTTTTGTGAGTTAGAATCTCCGGGCAAGATTTGAGACTTAATCTCAATGAGATTTCGTTCATTTGCAGCTTTCTCAATCAGATTTCGTTTATTGGTAACGTTAAAGTGTGAATCTTGGAGTACGGTAGGGTTTACGGGAGTCGATCTTCCAGTAAGGATTCGCTGATTCTTAACCTGTAGATTACTTAGCGGTACGGTAGCCTTTGTTCTTCCAGTCATCAACTGATTCTTAAACCCTGAATCCTCTGAGATTTACAGTAGTTAAAGACAAGAGCTTGCTCGGGATTACGGTAGTTTAATCTGGACTAATAGTAGGAGATTATGGTAAGTGGCGTTGTTTTAAATGTTTTTTTTTGTTGAAAGTAATCTAAAGAATAAATTTGTTAATGTTAATTCTCATTTTTTTTGATAAAAAGGTTTTAAAATTGTTTTTATTTAGCTAAATTTTAGTTAACAAGACAAAGATTCTCGTTGAATCAAATTCATAAAACAAACCATTGTTTCCGCCGCCTCATGATGCTGAATGCAAGTCTTGTGCTGTGCTTTCTTCTCACAACTCTTGCACACGAGCAATTCTTTAAGCTAAAGCACTTTTACTAAATGTAATCAATGATACAGTGTATTTTAAAATTCCAAAAAAAAAATATCAATAGATGAAAAGTGAAGGTGAAACTTTTTCATGCTTTACTTTTTGATGAATTCTAAAGCATAGCATTAAAGCGAATGTGAGCTCGTGGCGCAGTGGATAGTGCTCAAATTCTGCTGCTCAAATGCTTGCTGCTCAAATTCACATGCTCAAATTCTACAAAAAACTAACATACAATCATACAGGGTACTAATCCGAAAAATAAGATCAATAGATGAAAAGTTAAGGTGAAACTTTTTCATGCTCAAATTCTACAAAAATCTAACATTAAAGCGATGAAACCCGATTTTCCCTTGCACGCCTATTAACATTTTTTTTCGATTTTTAAGACTAAATGCTAAAGAATAAAAAAAAATCAATACTTTTTGAAAACTTTGCTTCTTGTTTTGGTGACACACGGAAAGCGAAGCGAATTTTGACTCTTGTCCGCATTCCGAGCATTTTAAAGGCATCCTTTTAATTTTAATTATGAAGTTATTTAAGTTTAATTTAAAGAAAAAAAAGAATTGAATCATTTTCATTTTTTCGATTATTTTAGAATTCCTTGAAAAGAAGAACTTTTAGTTGGCTGCAAAATGTGACAGATCTTACCGTAAATACTGTAATAGTACCCCACCCTCATAATGACGGTGCGGAGTGTTGCGTAGTCTAGCTTTGAACGAGTTTTTCTCGACACTGGTTTATGCTACAATGTGCGCTTAGGTATCAAAAAATAGCTGAAATTCAGCGCTATTTTTTGATACCAAAGGCCCATTTTTTTGAAAGTACGGGTGCTTTGCAAAAAAAGAAATACTAAAAAACTTTTGCGACTACGCGACTGTACGAGGGGGGTGAGGTACTATTACAATATTTACGGTAGGTTTTTGTTAACAACTTTTGATAAAACAAATAGTTTCTGAAAGCTGCCGTTCTAAGCTATCTAAATCTTATTAAATTAATGGCAAGAAATTAAATAGTACCCCACCCCCCTCGTACAATCGCGTAGTCGCAAAAGTTTTTTAGTATCTCTTTTTTTGCAAAGCACCCGTACTTTCAAAAAATGCGTCTTTGGTATCAAAATATAGCCCTGAATTTCAGCTATTTTTTGATACCTAAACGCGCATTGTAGCATAAACCAGTGTCGAGAAAAACTCGTTCAAAGCTAGACTACGCAACGCTCCGCACCGTCATTATGAGGGTGGGGTACTATTACAGTATTTACGGTAACCGACGAAATGAAAAAGTGTTATCAGTTTTGTGCACTTTCGACTCTTTTATTTCACCCTGTGTGGCGCAAGAAAAGAAAAAAGTATTTGTAAAATAAAAAAAAAATATTGCGAAATACTATAATGCATCAGAAACTAGAGTTTAAAAAACTTTTCTTTTTTTCGAATTTTTCGATTCTCAAATTTTGTCAACTGGACAGCAGGAATGCGTTTAACCCTTGAAATTTTAAAGTAAAATTTCGAAAGTGAAGCTACAAAGCAGCTAGTTTTATGTTTTTACTTTTGTTTTTTAAACTCTTGACATCAAATTAGCATCGATTTGTTTATCAACATCTCAAAAATCTACAAGTTCATAAAAAGCCATCGATTTGTCGACAAAAATTCATCGTTTTGTTTGTTAACATCTCAAAAATCCACAAAAATTCATCGATTTATTTATCAACATCGCAAAAATCCACAAGTTCATAAAAAGCCATCGATTTGTCGACAAAATCCATCGATTTGTTTATCAAAATCTCAAAAATTCATAAATCCATAAAAAGCCATCGATTTGTCCACAAAAATCCACAAGTCTAGACATTTTTTTTGCAAGAAATCAACACAAATCAAATCGTCTATCGGTTTAGAGCCATTTGTGGATGTTTTGACGTCAGAGCTGACCGATTTTTGATCACGTCGTTTCTTACTCTTACGTTCTTACGTTTCTTACTTACGTTTCTTACTATTCTTTTAAATTTCATTATTTTCAAGTTTAAATTATTCAATCTAATTTCCCTGAATATCTTTTCTCACATTCATTTTTTTTGATTATAAAATGCCTCGGGTGTGAATGTGAATTCGAGAAAAAAAAAATCCTCATTTCCTTGAGAGTGTTTCTTTCTTTTTTTTAGTAGAGAATGAGATAGGCATATAATTCTCAAACTTTACTTTAGAATTATTAGGTTAATGCATGAGTTTTTACTATTTAAACTATTAAAAAGCTTAATATTTTCTTTGCAAAATGATCTCTAGGGAATTCTTGAAAGTAGTTTTTTTTGTGGATTTTCAAAAGGCTTAAAGACGAGCACTTGAAACTGCTCCGATGCCGAAAAGGTCCCAATTTGGGCCCTTTCTTCAATGCAAACCTATTTTGATGCTAAAGTAAAAAAGATAGAGCTTATTTGATTACATAAGTCTGTAAAATTTGAAAAATTTGAAAACTATTCGTATTCGTGAAAACTCAGTCATTTTCTTTAAAGCAGTACCCTAAAGTCGCGAGTATAAGTTCTGTTTGGTTTTCACATGCAAATTGACGGCTGTTTCCGGTGCGGTGTGTCGAGGGTTCGAACCCCGCTGCAGCATAACTTTTTTGCTTTTTAAGAACAATAATAGAAGTAAATTTATTGAGGGTTTTAGCAATTTTATGCTGTTATTTGTTGCTCCGGGCGTGGCTCGGCGCGTCCGCCCTGCTCCTCTCCGGTGCTCAGTCTTATGGATCCCTCCCTGGCCTCTTCATCCGGCCAAAGTCCACGTCGACGGTCGAAAGAGATGCTTTCCAGCGTCTTCTTCAACACTATCGTCTGGATGTATCCTTGCACATAACAAATAGCAATGGTGATAGGCTGTCACCCTGTAGTATCCCGCGCTCCAAGAACAATAATAAAAGTTTATATAACAATAAAAATGTATAAAAACCCAACAAAAAGAAATTCAAAGCAATTAAAGCGACTGTAAATTAAGGCAGAACTTATACTCGGATCAACTTATACTCGAGACTTTAGGGTAATTGAAAATTTTACATAAAAATGGATTTTTACCGAGTTAAAACAAGCTTTGAGCTTTCTATGAATGAAGAATTTTTGATTTCGATGTACTTTGTGCTCAAGCGTTTCCAAAAAACATCCTTTTTGGCTGGTTTTACTGAGATTGGCTGCGTTACTGAGACAAAATGACAAATTTAGAACGTCAATAAACTATTGCTTTCGTTTTTTATCAGTATTTACTGTGCTTTGTGCTATAACTGCCTAAACACACACAATCTGGCGCGCTGAATTCATCATTTATCTTGCAGGAACAAAGGATGATTATGCAAGAAAAGTGTTGCATTATTAGTACTTTAGAAGAGATTTAGTATGCCAAAAAGGGAGCGTTTGTTGAAACAAAAAGCGTTGACAGTGTACGTTGTGCTCATAATTGAATGCACCTTTCTGATGCACGAAATTCCTTGGTTTTCTTGCAGAATCGACTTATATATCACAAGAAAATGAAGGATTTGATGCGCCAGAAAGGGTGCGTTCACATTTTTTTTGAGCATACAACGAAGTTTTGTTTAAGACAAACCCTTTGCTAGAAAAATTGTTAGAAAATTGTTAGAAAAATTTATTCTCACGGTGATCTTCAATCGATCAAAACTCTGCATTTGTTTCTTTTTTAATATTCTGTTTATAAACGATTATTGAGATGTTTTGGCTGTTGTTTCTCGATTTTCTGACAACTCGAATACTGGCTGAGCCACTTCCCATCGAACAATTGAGATATGTGGCAGTGGTTTGTGTTTACTTTCATTATTTATAGAGTTTCCTAAGAGAATAGGGTATATTTTAGTCAATGTTGTTCTAAAAGTAATTTAATTTTCCGGGAATAAGCCAGATAAGGATTAAAAACTTGTTTTATCCTGACTTTTCTTCAATGCACTGCAAAAAGTTGCTCGGCCCGGTTTAGGATCGGGCCTGACTTGTCTAGGGATTGATTAGAACATTTTAATGACAAGATAATTAGATAACAATGCCTAAAATTCATGATTTAATTCTAAAGACAGGAAGAAATAAAAAAAGAAAGTGATAGTTCATCTTTATCTTTACCTTGCACAGCTACCGTATTCTCTCTAATACTAGTGCACCCCGCCGAGCCGAGTTGATCACTATTTTACGGTTTCTAAGTTTTCGCAGAAGCTCAACACTCTAGTCCCCCACAAGATCTCATCGTCAGCTACATTTTCCGACCCCACATCGATACGTTCTTATAAGCGCTTTTCGAGATTTCGAGCAATTTAGGTGAAGCGAAAATACGACATACAGTTGAAAGCTAACGACTCTTCACATTTGCTTTAAAAGTACCTTTCACAAAAAGCGTTAGAAAGAAAAGTAAAAGAAAATCCACATTTCGGAAATAAATTTGATAGGATTATAAAGAATTTTTAAAACAGCAAAAAAAAAGTTGTAGGCAGAGCTTTTTGGGATACAGAATGGGAAGCGAAAGAAGCAGGAGCTAAACTTAATGATGACTATTTTATGCCGAGCCGAGCCGAATTGATGACTATTTTATGGTTTCTAAGTTTTCGCAGAAGCTCAACACTCTAGTCCCCCACAAGATCTCGTCGTCAGCTACATTTTCCGACCCCACATCGATAGGTTCTTATAAGCGCTTTTCGAGATTTCGAGGAATTTAGGCAACGCTCTGAGTGCACTGCTATTAGAGAGAATACGGTCTTCAACTATTTAACTATTCGCTGTTCAGTAACTGAAATGCTAATCAAAAGAATAGCTTGAATTGGCTATATTGCTGATTAGTGCTTAACATTCGATATTCTAGCTTCATTTTGTTACCATAATTAGCACAGAGAAGCTAGTCGATTAGAAAAGAGTGATTATCGTGATAACGAAAAGTACCAAAAAGCTTCATATTGATAAAATATTATACCGTATATATTCTAAAACTTGAATATCATTAGATATATTGTATTTTAAAAAAACCTGGGATCTTTTCCTTTAGCTATTTCGTCATGGTGAGCGCGGTCCGCTTTTCGATTTCTCTAGCAACAAAGCTCGAAGTCATTTCAAGAACAAAACAGGCCAATTGACAGAGGTAAGATAATAAATTCGTTAAAGATAATAAATAAAACAGAATTTGACTTGAAATGTAAAAATTTCTATTTAAAATCTTTAGAAAGGGAAGCAACAAGCCACTCAATTCGGCGAGTACCTCAACAAACGATACTATGATGGAAAAGGAAAAGCTTTGGTGAACAAGCTTTAATGGTACTAGGATCGCTAAAGTACAAGTTGTTAAGTTAAGATTGTAAATCGAGACTCCAAGAGACTCGAACAGATTTGGGTCACAGATTTTACCCGATTGAGCCTCTAAGGATACTTACAGCTCTTTACAAGTTTTATTTAATACTTTCCCATCGCTCTTTCCCAAGCTTTGGTGAACAAAATCTATTGTTTTAAGTATTAAATACTAAAATTTAATACTTAAAACTAGAGTTCGGAAAACAAAACCAAAACCAAAACAGACCAAAACCAAAACCAAAACAGACCAAAACCAAAACCAAAACAGACCAAAACCAAAACAGACCAAAACCAAAACCAAAACACCAAAACAAACCAAAACTCAATTTGCATATAAATTAACATGTAAATTTAAAATTGTAAAATGCAAATTTTAATGTAGAATGCACATTTGCCTTTAACTTTTTCTCACTCCACAAAATCTCGCGGCCGAAAAAAGGACCAAAACACGACCTCGAAATTTCGAAACAAAAATAGCCTATGGGATAGATTTTTGGATGCTGATTTCAAATCTGCAAACAGATTTTTGCTAGCTCCTCTCAGTCGCGAGATATTGGCGAGTTTTGGTTAGGTTTTGGTTTTGGTTTTGGTTTGTTTTGGTGTTTTGGTGGTTTTGGTTTTGGTTAAGTTTTGTTTTCCGAAGTCTACTTAAAACTATAATAACTAAAGGTTTTTCTCATAATATAGAGATGAAATTATCTTTAGATCACAAAAATCCACTCAACGAACAAGTCGCGATGTCTGGAGAGTGGAGAGTTGATCTTGAAGACGATTTTTCCCGAAAATTCAACAATCCTCAAGCCAAAGATTGAACTTTTTGCGCAAAATGATATCGACTGGGTAATTTGCATTTATGAATTCGAATTTAAGATGATCAAAATGTTTTATGTGTTGCAATTACCCGTGAACGAGTGCCAAAAACAAGTGACAGCGCTGAAGAAATGGTGTCCCGGGCTGAAGAATGCGAGCGATTATGTGAAAGTGACGATCATTTCTATAGAAATCAACTTTTTAACAATTTTTATTAGAATATTAGACTACAAACTACAAATGTAAACTATAAACGCTTCTAACTTGTTTCAAATCTACCGGATTGACATGATCTATAGCTTAAAAAATCGAGAATCTCAAGAGCTTTCGAATGAACTAAAGCACATCGAAAAATATGAAGCCTAAAGAAAGTTACAGTGGCTTGTAGCCTCACTGACAATTGCTTTGACTACGCGCGAGTACAGTTCACAGATTTGAAGCAAGTTCGAAGCATTTGTAGTTTGACAGTTCGTCATTTTTGTAGTTTATTGTGCCCACATCTACTTTTAATTTCTAACAAAATTCAGTACGACGATCTTGCCGCTGAGCTGTTGATGTGCACACGAGAGTTCAAGAGCTCAAAATTTTTCACGAAATCTTCGGATATCGTGCAAATCGAGGCGCTTGTGGCCGAGGTTTAGATCAACAGTCATTAGTAGACTTGGCTTAAAGGGGTACTCCGGCCCTAAAAGTGATTTTCAAGAATCACGACTATTTGTATACCAATCGACGCGTTTCAGTTTGTATTTGGATACCAATACTCTCAATCAATCGAATCCCCTCAACCAATCCAATCCTCTCAACCAATCCAATCCAATCGCTGGGGGCCGGAATACCCCTTTAATGGTACTAGGATCGCTAAAGTACAAATTGTTAAGTTAAGATTGTAAATCGAGACTCCAAGAGACTCGAACAGATTTGGGTCACAGATTTTACCCGATTGAGCCTCTAAGGATACTTACAGCTCTTTACAGACGCTACTGGTACCGCTAAGTCAAGTCTAGCTAACAGAGCAAAATGTTCAATCTGTAAAGTATTGTATGTGCCTTTCAAAATAGAGTCAGCTACTCAGTTCCATTAACGACGTGTGTTAGTGGTAAATAAATAATAGTTTCTAGATCATAAATCAATTGGTTTATAATTCATTTCAAAAAGTAACCTTTGAAAAAAGCGAACAAGATCAGAAGACAACCTAATCATTGAGCATTTCGATTTCAATTTTCATTCTATCGCTTTATCATTGAGTAATGATTTAGTTACTTAATTTAGTTTCATTTTGATTTTGTATTTCTTATTTTTTTAAACAATCAATTTATTAGGTGAATGCGGGTTTAATTGCGCCGACTGCAGAAACGTTTGAAGCCGAGAAAATCATGCAAGGAGTAAGAAAAAATTTCGATTTTATTCTCTATCTTTTCCAAAGTTTCCCTTTTTTTATTTCCGTTCTTTAGGTGATAATTTCCTGGTTTAAAACCAAGAAAAGCAATGAAATTTCAAGTAAAAACTAAGTAAAACTTTCGATTTTCGCGCAATGATCGTTCTAGATGCACGAACTTTCTGAAGGCTACGGGGCATATGTAGAGGATGTGGTCGCGAAAACCTCGTCCGGACAATTAATTTCAAGTTTTTCTTTTGTTTGATTGATATTTTTAAACTTATAATTATAATAACTTATAATACGTATGTAATTCCTTTGTAACTTGTAAAGGAACATTGAATATATCAGAATTAATTCTATCGTAGTTTTTGTCTAGACTACGGCGACAATTTCCCGCCCCCCCCAATAAAAACTAGCAAAAGACCGTTAAAGATATTCAGCTAAGCAACTGAAAGTTAATGAACGGTTTTGTTTTGGGGTATTTAAGTTTCTTTTGAGTTCCTTTCTTTTTTTTCACATCTTTGGGGGGTGGGACAAATGCGACCTTTTTTTTTGCGCACCTGGACATTTGCGCACCTTTTTTTTTGCTGGAAAAAGCCTTAGGAAAGATCGTCAAGCTTCAAAAATGTTTTCATAGAAGGGAATCGTATACGTAGATTCAGAATTTTGACAAATCAGACCTCGCTGACACGTCAAATTTGGGCTAAAAGGCAAAAACTACGCAACTTAACGCTTTTCCGCAGTTTTTGCCTTTTAGTCCAAATTTGACGTGTCAGCGAGGTCTGATTTGTCGAAATTCGGAATCTACGCATACGATTCCCTTATGTCGAAATATTTTCGAAGCTCTGCGGCCTTGCCTAAGGCCTTTTCCAGCAAAAAAAAGGTGCCCAAATGTCCAGGTGCGCAAAAAAAGGTCGCATTTGTCCCACCCCCCACCTTTGTAATCTTATTAAGTTTTTCGCTTTTTCTACTCATTCTTTAAATTAAGATCCTTTATAACGTTTGTAATTGTAATATGTAATTCCCCCAAACCCACATTTTAGTCCTCTACAATGAGGTGATCGCCGAGCGAAACGAAACTTTGGTTCACTTTGTTTCAACGGTAAGTGAAATGGGGAGTTTTGAATGGGCAAGACTTTTAACAATGCAACATTAAGACATTGAATCGTGGATGAATTGGTCCTGAGAAAATTGGTCAAGTGTTTTACCAAATGATCTCGTGTACTTACTTGGCCTTGAGAGTATTTGGTTTAACTTTTTTTACTGAGCGATTTGTCCACCGACAAGTTGTGCCTAATAGTAAGGTGTTTGTTTTTGAAAGATTTACCCCTGAAGCTGATAAGTTGTGCCTCTACACACGAATCTGGCTTCGATCCCTTAAGCCGTCGTAGCCGACCGGATAGGAGTCTTGTCTCATAGTCGGGAGGTCAAAGGTTCGATTGGTTTTGATTGGTTGCTTCTTTTTCCCACCATTATAGGTTTTTGTTTTCTTAACAACATTTGAATAATAGGGTAAAACTAAGGGTAAAAATTTCCTCCGCTGTGTTGTAATTGATTATTCATGTCGAATAAAACTAGACTTTTATCTTTGCCTACAAACCCGGTAATCAGTAACAGTCAAATCAAGATCGAGTTTTAAAATGAGTCATAACCCATCTGATAGCTTTCATCGGGCTTAGCTTTTAAAGCTTTTTTTTCATCGGGCTTTTTAAATAGCTTTTAAAAAGCATTGATTCACACGAATAATTTGGTACAAACAATGCAAAAGCAACTCTAAGCTCTAAATGTAGAGAAAACCCATATATATTGGAAAAAAGAACTAATCATCTAGCCAGCGGGATTGAACCCTAATAAGCCTGACTAGGAGCCTGATTAGCCAATCGATCATGGCGGTGTTTGATGTGGCGATATCTCAAATGATCCTTGTTTTAGCTTAGCTTTTAGCTTAGCTTTTAGCTTAGCTTTTAGCTTAGCTTTTAGCTTAGCTTTTAGCTTAGCTTTTAGCTTAGCTTTTAGCTTAGCTTTTAGCTTAGCTTTTAGCTTAGCTTTTAGCTTAGCTTTTAGCTTAGCTTTTAGCTTAGCTTTTAGCTTAGCTTTTAGCTTAGCTTTTAGCTTAGTTTTTAGCTTAGTTTTTAGCTTAGTTTTTAGCTTTCTGAACAAACTTTATAAGTAGAAATGCCATCAAGAGATCGTAAAATAACTTCTCCAGATGTCACAAAAATTTACAAACAAAGAAAGAAAAAGTCACAAAGATGTCATAAAGAAAGAATCAAATAAAGAAAGATCTTCTCCGATTTCACAAAGGAAAAGTTTTCTAGCAAGATTGGATCATCGCGAGTTCAATGCAAATCCTAGGCGTTTCCGACTTTTTGCAACACAGAAATCCGCCTTATCTGTGAGTTGAGATGATTAAAAATGATTGTAAATGGATATAGTAAATGAAAATCTATTGTTAATAATGTAATTTATTAACTAAAGTTTAAAAAATTATCTTATAGACTTAACAATTTTGAAATTTTAGGTCATCGCTTACTGTGGAGGCTTGGGGAAAGGGAGAAAGGGGGAAAATCAAGGTAAAATGCTGTAAAGTTTTACGATAAATAGTTTAAGTTTAAAATTTGAATTTATATAATAAAATAAAATAAAATAAAATAGCCATTAGAAATAGGGGAAAATTGTATTCAAATTACCGTAAATACTGTAATAGTACCCCCGCCCCCATAATGACGATGCGGAGTGTTGCCTAGTCTAGCTTTGAACGAGTTTTTCTCGACACTGGTTTATGCTACAATGCACGCTTAGGTATCAAAAAATAACCCTGAATTTCAGCTATTTTTTGATACCAAACACGCATTTTTTGAAAGTACGGATGCTTTGAAAAAAATGAAATACTAAAAAACTTTTGCGACTACGCGACTGTACGAGGGGGGTGGGGTACTATTACAGTATTTACGGTATGTCTTTATTTTATATCGTCTTCTGAATATCTTTGCGTAGACTGAATATCTTTTTTCTCATTTAAACTGTGAAATTTGTTGTTTCATCTTTTCTTTTCAATTGTTCCAAGTGAAATTTGCATATTTTACATAAAACTTTGTTTTCCCTTTTATCTCTTGTTTTTATGATAAGTTTAAAAGTTTAATTAGCACAAATTGCGCCTTTGTTATACTTTCAAAAGCAGTGGAGAGAGCTCTAAATAAAGAAATAACTGGCTATAGTTAAGCACTATCAGTCAAGCATCTAGTCTAGCATATAGTCTAGCATATATTCTAGAGTCTAGCATAAAGTCTAGCATATATCTAGCATCTAGTCTAGCATATAGTCTAGCGTATATTCTAGTATATATTCTAGCATATAGTCTAGCATATATTCTAGCATATAGTCTAGCGTATATTCTAGCATAAAGTCTAGCATCTAGTCTAGCATATATCTAGCATATAGTCTAGCATAAAGTCTAACAGAGAAATCTTTCTTACAACATTTAAAACTTTTAAAAAAGATAATGATTTAATGATTTTTTCTGAACTTTTAAACTTTTTCAGATCTTCTACCAAATGCTGAATGCTACCGGAACGATTCAACGAGTCAAAGAGCTGGCTTTAGGTAAAATTTAACAAAAATATAAAAGAAATATATCACATATGCTTATACTTTGTTTCCTTTTGTCAAAATCTCTTATATATTTGATTTATTTTGTAAAATTTTCCATTTCCAGACGAATTCACGAGAAGATTCTCGTATTTGAAAGATTTCGACGTAAAAGAGTACTGTAAAGAATGATCAATGAGTGAATTTTGAGGGAGTGGGACAAATGCGGCCTTTTTTTTGCGCACCCGGACATTTGCGCACTTTTTTTTTGCTGGAAAAGGCCTTAGGAAAGGTCGTAGAGCTTCAAAAATGCACCCGGACATTTGCGCACCTTTTTTTCCGCACCTTGCCCATTAGCGCACCTTTTTTTCGCGTTTTAAAAAGCTCTAAAAAGCTGATATTAACCAATTTCTATTCTAAATGTTGTTTTTCTAGGTAATTTGAGGGTGTCGAATTCAAATTTTGACATAACAGAGCGAATCGACAAAATCGACAATTTTTGTAATTTGATCTAGCCGTTTTGTCTTTCAAATTGGTTCCACACGCTCTGTTATGTCAAAATTTGAATTCTACGCCCTAAAACTACCTAGAAAAACAACTTTTGGAATAGAAATTCGTTAATATTAGCTTTTTAGAGCTTTTTTAAAACGCGAAAAAAAGGTGCGCTAATGGGCAAGGTGCGGAAAAAAAGGTGCGCAAAAAAAAGGTCGCATTTGTCCCACTCCCAATTTTGAAGAAAAGTAATTTTTTTTCTTTATTCAAATCTCATCTTATTTGCATTTTTATATAGATTTTATTTAGAAATCTTTTTTTTTTGCTTAAAATTTCTCTAATTTCATCCCTGTCAAGTGCATTGCGTGTCTTTAATAAAAAAAAAGTTCCTTCTTTCTTTCTTTCTTTTTCTAAGTAAACTCTTTGTAAGTATTCTCTTTGTTTTTTGAGTAAATTGTTGTGTTTATTTGATTTTAGAATCGTTTTACGTTACAGTACGTTACAGTATTTTTTACAAATGAACAATCAGCCGGAAATTGACGAACTTTCGGGCACTCGGCCGTGCAAAAATCAACGTAAATATGGACGGTTTGTGGTGACCTTTATGCTCAGAAATAGAAACACATTCTTTCTAGCGTACTAAACTATTCAATTTTCTTTATTTTTCTTTATTAATATGTCATTTATTTCAGTAATAAAGACTAAAGATTCACAACATTCAAAAATTTATATTAAACAGTTTGAATCGAAAGAAAGGAAAAAAAAACAAACATAAAACCATTTACAGATCAAGTAAATTGAATAATATTGATTGTTGATTTGTTGATTCTAAAAGAAAATAAAGAACTTAGTGCACTAGAAAGGATGTGTTTTCATTTTTGAGCAAGAATAACAAAAAAAATTGATAACAGAATGAGATAAAACTTGATGTGAAGTTTTTAAATCAAGATTTAGATCAAGATTTACCTTTAATCGTGCGTACTTTTTATTTATGAAAACATCTTTTCTGATGCACGAAATTCTTTTACTTTTCTTGCATTTAGCAGCGGAAACTAAAAGATTGGTTTCCATTTTTTTTTTTTAGTTTAATCTACAGGGTGACCAAGAATTACCGCAACACACAAAAGGCCTGGCTTTTAACCAAATATGCAACCCATCTCGAAAAGTTAACTTAAATATCTTTATTCAACATATAACAGTAACAAATTAGCAATTAAATTCAAATTGGCCTTCATCGGCATTCAGACAGCCCTGAAAACGTTTGGGAAACGCGTTGACCGTGGCGAGCAAATAGGCATCATTGAGGGTATCCCATGCTTTGATGAGCGCCTTCTTCAAACTTTCGATATTTTTATGTGATTTTGCACATGCCCTGGCTTCAAGAACACTCCAGACTGAGTAATCCAATGGGTTAAGATCGGGTGAGCTGGGTGGCCACTCAGAAAACGAGATGAAGTCCGGGAAGGTCTTTGAACAAAACTCTTGCGCTTTCTTTGCCTTATGAGCCGGCGCACCATCTTGTTGATAAGTCCAAATTCGATTTTTGAAGTGGCGTTGAGCCCACGGAACAACCTCCTTCTTTAGCAAGTCCAAATAATAAAAGTGAAAGGGGCTCATAACATAAGACGATGTTGTTGTGGTAATTCTTGGTCACCCTGTACAGCTTGGGAATTAGTTAAGCTTTTAAACACTACAATCTGTCAAAAAAATTATAGACGCACCCTGTTTTTTGCTAGTTTAGAGCCGGACATAAGTGCTAGTCCAGTGAAAAGTATTTTTTAGTTTCTTTAATGTAAAAAAATAACCCATGCTTTATCGTACAAAAAAAACGTTTTATCAGCTGTCAACAAAACTATAGACGCACTTTTATTTTATCAAGAAAAAGTTAACAGAAATAAAAATAACAACACAAACCAAATCAATTAATAATGTGTGGCCCCTCCTTGCTTTAGTCCAACTTCAAAAGATGTCTCGGCATCGAAGAGACAAGGCGCTGTTGGCTGGAGCCGATTCCAGGCTACTTGAATGGCTTTCTTGAGTTCATTCACGCTCGAATATTGCTTGTTTCCCTTGTAGACATCTCGAACGAGTGTCCCCCACACATTCTCAATCGGGTTCAAGTCTGGGCTGCAAGCGGGCCAAGCGACAGTGTCGATTTTGTGCGCTATCAGCCAATCTCTTGTGGAGCAACTTGCATGAATACTCGCGTTATCGTGCAGAAAAGTAAAGTTATTGCCCGGATTGTTGTTCAGATAGACGACTAGATGTTTGTCCAACACTTGTTGATAGTCAAGCGTCATCTGGGTCGAAATAAACTCTAAGCCGACCAGTTCACCGTCTCGAAAGGCTCCCCATACCATACATGATCCACCTCCAAAGTTCCTCGTGCTGAAGACCATGCCCGGCTTTCGTGAATCCTTCCAATATCCTCGAAAACCATCAGCACCATCAAAGTTGTACTTCTTTTCGTCACTCCAAAAAGATCTAAACATAAAATATATAAGAAATACTAGTAAAACCAACTCCCTTCCATTTGGTCTTCTGGTTCTTTTGAGCGAAATTGATACGGGCGGCTTTATGGTCCTTTGTAAGTCGTGGAGCTTGCTTCATGAGTTTGTATTTGAGTATTGTAGATCGTTTGACAACGTTGTGCACAGTCCAACTTCAAAAAGACGTCTCGGCATCGAAGAGACACCGAAGAGCAAAAAACAGGGTGCATCCATAATTTTTTGACAGATTGTATTTTCCAGAGTCAAGTTTGAAAAGTGTTAGCACAATTTCTCCAAAAAGATCCAGTGAACATAGATAAGCGTCTAAAATAAGAAAAAACAATGAATCAGATTATTTTAAGAGCAAATAATAGGACTTTCTGGTAACGACCATTGGTTGGTTTTTGAACGATCACAATTGGTTCATAATTCATTTCAAAAAGTAAACTTTAAAAAAAGCGAACAAGATCACTAGACTACCTAATCATTGAATGAACATAGATAAAAGTCTAAAATAAGAAAAAAAAACAATGAATCTGATTACTTTAAGAGCAATAAAACTTGTGCTTTTTGATTGTTTTCACTTTTGTTTTCAAAAATTCTTTAAAACTTCAAGATTTAAACGAAAAGTTTACAAGACTCAAAAAAACGCTCAAAATCCTGCTAAACTTAAAGCGGAAATCCGATTGAAATATGTAAAAGTTCATAAAAGATCACTGAAATAGTTTTAAATCCAAAAAAAATTCAATTTCTAAAACGGAAATAATAAATTATAAAAAGAAAAAGATGAGCTTTCGTCAAATTTTCAATCTCCGAATTGACCAATCTTTTCCCATTCCTTTTTTCCTTCAACCTTTTTCGAATTGAGTCTCCAATTTCAAGAAAGATCTCTCTTTTGAACATTTTTTTTTATGCTAAAGAAGAAAGATTTGTCCTTTTTCAAGCAAAAACAAAGTGAATTTCGTTTTCTTGGCTCCATTATTGGAACTTCTTCATTGCCAAGCATAGAAATTCTGTCGATTCGTAAATCCACTGACTTAGCTATCGATTTTGACTTCATTTTTTATTACACTGAATTATATTTTGAAAATCAGCTGCAAATCTACTGTAATCTTTTTGCTATTTTGTGCTAAACGCCAACTCTACAATTATCCCAAAGAAAATGTCACGGAAAGTTCAGTTTGAGTGAGTTGTTCAAATTTCAAATATTGTACCTTTGAGATTGTTACGCGGATGCTATACTTAATAAAATGAATAGCTCCAAACGATTGGTCGACCTGAAAACCCAATTGAAATTTCCAATTTGGTACAAATTTCCAATTGAATATCTTTTTGGATCGTCTAAAAAGCAGAAGAGAAATTCTTGAAGAAAATGACTGGCAGGTGTTCTTTGTGCAGGCGCACAATCTCTCATCGTCCACGTCCCCGATAGATAGGTGTTCCTTTTGATGCCCGTTAAGGCGCTTGGAAAGGCGCAAAGGAGCCCTCTCCGTGGGCCAGTTTCCCAATTCTGTGCGTGATTAAGCCCAAACCCTTCGGATCGATATGTGCCTTAATTCTGGGTATATTTTGTAATAAATACCGTTGAAACGATATCCCGTCTGAGGCTAGTCTGAGAACCCAAGTTTCTCATAGAATAGCGCTCACAATCAGGCTTTCTCCAACTCTTTTGTCCATTCAAAGTCATTTAAAACTTTCAATTCCTCAAAAAAATACTTCGTTCCAGCCGCAGTTACAGGAAAGTACACTAGAAATAAAATGCAATATCTAGATTTTCTCAAAAAAACGTTGATTAAAGACCATATTTTCCCTGCAAATGTCAACAAAAAAGGCGCTTCATCCAAATTGCAACCTGCAAATTTCACCTGAACTCTAGAAAATGAAAAAACGGGAAAAAAAATTGTTGAGAACACTTTAAAATAAGAAAAATTTATTTACAATCAGAACTATTTTCTGAAAAATTTCACGATTTTTATTTGAAGAATGCTAAATTTTCAACAACGACGCCATTACCGTCGAAGGGAAAGCACTTTTAGGTGAAAAGTTGGGAGTGGGACAAATGCTACCTTTTTTCCGCACCCGGACATTTGCGCACCTTTTTTTCCGCACCTTGCCCATTAGCGCACCTTTTTTCGCGTTTTAAAAAAGCTCTAAAAAGCTAATATTAACCAATTTCTATTCCAAATGTTGTTTTTCTAGGTAATTTGA